AAAAAGATTTTTACGATTTTTTTTAAATATATAATCAAACATCAATATCAAACTCATAACAGAATAAATCAAAAATAATATTCCTTCATAAATATCGCATAAATTTCAGGATAATCAAATTTTTGATCGAAATTATTGAAAGCTAAACGACCCATCCCCCGCGCCGATAGATACTCATACTTCCGTAATATGAATACTATAAGTATTAATATTTCTATTATTAATATCATTACCACTATCATTATTATTCTTAATACGAACATTATGATTAATTCCATCACGATATAAAAATCAAAAACGTTTATATCCTTTATATCTATTTTTATGGCATTTCCTTTATTCATAATACCTATGATATCAACTCATTGTAATGACGATACTATTATGGCTATTATAATTCTGAATGGAATACGAGTATATTCGCTGACGTAGTAGCCTGATCGTTATTTATTCAAGATATCATTAAATTATTAATTTGTAGTGATTATTATATGATATTCTTATTATTACTGCTATAATCGCTGATATTATTTTTATTATTCCGACGTTAATATAAATGATATAAGATCTATATATCATTTTAATGTAATTATAGCCATATATCCTATACTCGAAGTATCGTCAAGATCATATTGAGTTCTATTCAAATAGCGGGCGGGTTGAGTATCAAGGACACGTAAGAGTAGACTAATTATAATAATATAGTAGATGCGAAGATTAGGAAGGTAGATTTCGTGAAATCTTCGATTTTCATTCGTTTCTTCTTGGAATTATGATAAGAAATATAATGTATTTATCAGATGGACAGCATAAATCTATGTTAAAGAAGTATCAATTCTAGTACGAGTTCAAGCACTCATCTCGTGGATCTAGTGCCGGCACCCAGAACACCGAACATGATATCTACTCCGTCGACTCGAGCTTGATCAGATGCACTCTTGTCTAAAGCCTGTGAACTTTGCACAGAGTTATTCGCTCAAGGTCTCACTTCCTGGCGCAGGAGCTTCAGAACAACAGGCGCCAGGTCGCTGCAGTCCTCACGCAAGTCACGCATTCTCTTCAGTCGGAGATAGACGGAGTGCAGCATGGTACAGCCCTCTTGAGTCTTGGGCCAGGACAACTTGCTCTTGGTGGCGCTGCTGACCCCTGCTGACATGCCCTTTTCTGGAAGGAGCGGCAGCAGTCGTAAGTCCTGATCAAGTCGGTAGGGATAGTGACAAGCGTGACCCAGCATGCAACCAAGACTTCACTCCTCTGAATCTGCAGAGACTTCTGATAAGGCTTGAGAAAGGCCGACAGAGCTTTCTTCTGGTGGTTTTGCCGGCCACAGCCCTCAATAAGAGTCCGACACTACAATGTCCCCTTCGATCTCCTGGCCCCGGACCATCAGCGAATCAGTGCTACGCCTTTCGCGGAGACATTGCTTGCATGAGCATATCCCATTGAGGCACCTATGCGCATGCTTTGTCAGCAAAAAGAAGGCCTTTGCCGCAGCAATCGGCTCGGTATGCCCAGATTGGGCACTCCGATACATGGCGTGAATTGTATCCACCACCTGGCACAGGAAGAACACTCCGCGTTCGACGACCCAGCGATTCTGCAATGGCCACGAGCGGACACCAGCACAACTGCAACACAATACAGTTTTCGGTACTTCTATGTCCGTGCGCCAGGTTGGCTTACAACATGGCAGGTGCACTCTAATCTCAGCCAATGGGAAGTTGCAAAGACGTTGCAGAGATACTGTCTCATAGCCATTCAGTCACTCAGTGACGTGCTTGTTTGAGCTGCATATCACTGCATATCATGCCCGTGGACTGTGCCACGCGTCATGCCCCAGAAGACTTTAAGAGTATTTCTCTTCTCTGCAGACAGTCTTGAATAGTCAAGACAATCACGGGAGTTGCAGAAGAGGATACCGGAACGTAAATTTGCACTGCAAGCGTATCCAGCAAAAGATCATGGCAGTGCGTGGCAGCACAAGCCTTCTTTCCCAAGAGGACATCTGCGGCATTCGTGAACTGCTCACCAAGACCTAAAAGCAGATCAGTCTTCACGAAGTGACAGCATTTCGATACTTTCGGACCAGATTTCCCAAGTGGCTGGCAACCATGGATAAAAGCGTGGAGTGATTCTGGCCCATCTCCCTCCGAGTCGTAGTTTTCGAAGTAGAAACCTGACAGATGGTAAAACCATGTGAAACTAATGCAGCAAGCTCGTTCTTGGGCAGTAAGACAGAAGAAACAAAGCCTTGCAGAAGCATTCCTGGCCTGGGACGTGGTGCTCGCTTCCATCATGAAGCTGAACCTTCAGCCCACCGGAGGACGGATGCATGTCCTCCCCAGACGAAGCGTTGCAGGAGGAGACTTGTCCCACACAGTCGCAGGAACATTCCCCCGGCCTCCCCGCTGTAGGTGACCACTCCTTCAGAACCGAAGATCTTCATATCGATTTGCTTGGTTGAGCTCGCATAGGACCTTAAGGAAAGCAGAAAGCCATCTAGGCACCCTGCTGTTTCCCCATAGTGGGTAATTTTCAGAAGACACTGACTCGTAGCTCGATTGGATGCGTCTGACATTTGATCCAACCCCCTCGTTCGCGCGGGTCGTGGCGACCGACTGCACAACGCCCCTTTGCAATCATCTTCGAACACTAGCAGGGAATACATGAATGTGCTCGTTAGAGTACTGGTAGCACTGGCAGAAATTCAGCATAAACACCTCGCGCCCATCACATAACTTTCGGCAAGAAAACTATCTGGACAACCTGGACTGCAGCAGTTGCTCGGTCAGTGGCAACGGCTGTGTGAAATGCCATGAAAAGACACTTTCGCATGGCCTGTGCGGCTCCTCTAGCTTCCACTAGTAAAGCCTGCAGCACAGTAGCAACGGGGGCTTCAAAGGTTTCGTAGGGTGTCCAAGGTCCTCTGAATTGATGATTTTGTCGACAAGGCTGTCTCCGGCACCTTGCCGAAGACTTCTGCAATCAAACGTGCTTCTGCTGTTCTGACAAAACATCAAAACAAAGGCAGAATTCAACATCTGACCCGAGGTCACGGTCTGCACTCGCAATAACTCCGAAACCCTAAACTTTCCACGCCTCGCCAGGTGATCCAAGTCACTTGAAGGGCAGAGAAGCTGTCCCTTGCACGTTCAGGACTGCCTTGCCAACATTGGGGATCCGAATCATAGGGCTTCTAAGGGACAGGGATCCTAACATTAGGGCCCTTAGGGAAACGGATTCTTTCTTTTCTTGCCTTTCAATGCATTTCAGGGATAGGGATCTTCATATTAGGGCTTTTCAGAGACTGAAAAGAGGAGATACAGCTTCAGTTCGCGAATGGCGACTCATCCTCGCTGGGTTTGCAAGGGCTTCTCCAAGCGCTTAGGGCACCCCTGTATTCCGGTAATATTCATGCAAATACGTATACTAGCCCTAATACCAATACTGATGTTAAAATAAAATGAATACGAGTAAGAATACCAACATCAATTTTCAATGTTAATATACTTATAACTGCCCTGAGCCGTCACGGTAGCCCATTAAGGGAGCTGTGCAGCCGAGATGCCCCACCCAAGCACTGAATGACAGCGGTATCAAAGATGTCGGCCCCCGTCTTCTCTGATTTCACCATGTTGCAATAGACCCTCCTCACTTCTGGATGCACGTGTCGCTCTTACCGGATCCAACCCCGGACCTTGAGTGCCACTACTATGTATACACCGAAGACCCGACTACCAACAAGGGCAACTTTTGTCTTGTTCCGTCTTCATGATAGGCTTTCTGGCAGGTCTCGTGGGCTCGAGCTCTGTGACGTAGTATAGCCAGGCCAGAGCATGTGACATCTGACCCCATCCAAATCCATTTCCTCCACGCTGCAGGAAAAACTCTCCTACTGCCATTTCCGGAGATGTCGCACGCTGGGGCCCTGTTTACAACAAGTCCCGTTGATGTCTGCAAGAATGGTGAGCAAAAGCTCCTTCCATAGTTCCTGTTGGTCGGACCCAGCCCTCATTCTCTGGATTGTCAAAGAGCCAGAGAAGTGAGCAGGCCATAAAACCTTGCTGGTGCACGCAGAAATGATTCATCGCAAGCTGAAGCAAGGTTTAAGACTTGGCCATGCCTGCCGATGCTCGGGAGTACACCGGGTAGTCTACCGATTTCTTGCACCAGTCTGGTCGGGGCGCCTTGCGCGAACTTCACCGTACCGACTTTGCCTTTCAGGCTGTGCAGGCTGAAGGACATCGACATGGTGCACTGGAACATGAACCTATTGCATCAAGATGCTTGCGACCACTTCGCGCACTTTCTGGGCAGAGTCCCGGAAATTTGCTGTGTTATTCACCAAGAAAACTTTGTCTTTGGCGGCTGCTGCTCGTGCAAGACTGCTTGCTTCAGCTGGGTCCGTCGTCATCGGTTTCTCCATAAAGACGTGGAAGCCAGCTCCCAATGCCTTCAAGCCGATCTCAGCATGGGATGAATGGCTGGTGGCCACCACAACCCCGTCTGTTGATGCCGCAGCTGATGAAAGTAAAAACTCATCCTCGCACAAGCATCTCTGCATCACATTACATGTCACATATTACACTTGAACTGCATCCATCTCATGTCTCATGCTACCTGTCAAGTCATATATCCTACATCAACTATGTGATACACAACGTATATCACTATATCGTCATCTACTACCGCTAACTAGTCGTGGATCCCTTTGTCCAAAAAAGCCGAACCTTCTAAAACATGGCCAGAAAGCAAACAAAAATGACTGCGTCCCACGGGCCGAGGCTCAAAAGTCTTGAAGATGGGCACCCCGTAGGTACCTAGCTGGGCCCAGCCGGGTTCAGGGTTCCGGGGTTAAGGCTCTAGAGTTAAGGCTTTGAGGGTTTAGGGGTCAAGGGTCTAGAGTTCAGGCTTTGAGGGTTTAGGGGTTAAGGCTCTGGAGTTCAGGCTTTGAGGGTTTAGGGTTGATGGTAAAGACGTCCTATTAACCCAACGAGGGAAAACAAGAAATGTACGGTGGACAAGCTGGATACTCTTCAGCTCCTCAAGCGTCTTCATGTCTGGGTTCAGAGTGCCTCGGGTCACACAGACACACCACAACTGCTGGCATCTGAGGAGAAGCGAGGCTTAGAGGGAGCCAGAGAGAGAGAGAGAGAGATAATCTGTTGCGACAGAGGGAAGGACAGAGAGAGGTGCAAGCGTGCTGGCAGTCGATTCAAAGCCTGCTGCTTGCGATACTCGCTTCGGTTTGTTTGCGGAGCGGCGACTGCTGAGAAACCGATTGAGCAATTTAGCTATTGAGCAGTGAGACGACCGAGACGACCTTTTACGAAACTCCTGTCATCGGGGACCCTTCGGTTCGCATTATACCGCTCTAACGCCGGCGGAGAATGGGGCGGCAAAAACTGCTTCAAGAACACACCTACTTTCAACAATCCCAATCCATGCATGAAGGCGACGATCTCAGCCGGCAATCCAGCACGCTTCTCTTGTTGCAGAGTCCAGATCGGTAATGGCGGTGAAGGTCTGGGTAAGACCCTTCAGCACTACAACCCAAGATGGTGCGTTTCAGTTGCGTGGCGTGCCTGCGACAAGTTGCCTACGCCGGACAGACAGAAAAACAGTGTTTCAGCGAGGTGGAGCCCAGCCCTGAAGCAGGCGGGGAAAAGTTGGGGCATTAGAGACGACTTAATGACGTAGAGACTTAGGATCTCAGCTCAGTCTTGGGGTCCCGGCCAGTGCCGTTAGTGATGCGTACATCGCACTGCTTCAGTTATCTACTACGACTTGAACTAATACGTATGTGTATGTATATATATATATATATATTCACATATATATATATATACACATATTCTAGTAGACTATAGTATATCAGTAATTGTACACTATGGTATATTAGCTGCCAGAGCCAGTGTGACCAATGAAGCCAAGAATCTGCGTGGAGCATCGCAAGGTTCCACGATGGCCGAAATTTCTGCAACTCGGCGTGGGCCATCCCTACTCTTCGCTCTGAAGGGCTGTGCAAGCTGAGAGCTTTCTGTTGAGATCAACTATGGCGGGAACGTGGATTCCGGCTCAAGTGGGGAAGATGCCAGCCCTGCGACCACCATCCAGCACCGATCACCGCAATGCGGGCGTGCCTCACGAACACAGGGGAGTCTGAATAGATCCGAGGGCCCATGGCACTGACAGAAGCGATGTCAGAGTTGTGTCATGGCTACAGATGGGTTTACGGCAGCCTAGCTGAGAAAATGAACCAGCTGAGCCTTCTCGCCACTGATGGATCTGGCATCTGAGGCCATGCTTAGCCATGCGAACGCATGGTTCTCGACGTTGACAGGATGCTACCGTTTTCTGTGTATTGAGAGCTCAAAAGGAATCGTGAGCTGACAGATACACCGCTAGATGATGCATAAGGAATGTACCATGCAGGCTCTGCACAAGTGGAACCCTACGGGACTCTCATGGACTCTCTCCTTGTCCCACGGTGATTTCTGTGGAAGGTCAGGCTGGAAGTTGGCAGCAGAAGGCCCAGCTGTCTGTCGCTCCACCCCTTGTTGTGAGACGAAGCCGAAGATGTTCCACCTTGCTCCGAAAACGCCATCCGGGCCTTTTGCTCGATTTTCGGGGCTCTCTGGGCAGCCTTTGGCTGCTCTGCGCTTTCATTTGCAGCATCTGCGGCACTTCGTGCGGCAAAGCGAGTCCTGGCTAGATGAGCAACTGTGCTTTAAGGTCTTCAAACAGCCCAAATCTATATGAACAGCTTCTGAAGCATAGTTACCCTGATGCGCTTGAGTGGCATCACGCGTTACTTTGACGTGGGTCTGTTTCACAGCCCAACCTGTCAACAACCAAGCATTTTGTAAGGAGGTCTTCATACAAGGAATATTTTGATTTGCATCCATACATGCAGCTTTGCACGACCATGCGGGTCTTCACATGAATTGGTGGGGAGCTGGAGAGACTCGCAGCTGCTGAGCAAGAGCCCTCTCTGTACCGGGATCAGAAAGGAACCGAGCGTGATGTGCATCCTGGAGCCAGGTGACTTACAGGTGCAGGTGCTGTCAGTGCTCTCGCCGTCTGAACTGCCGGCAACATAAAAGCATGACCATCCCCGCGCAGTGAAAGCTGCTTCGATGAATCATTGCCATCTCCCACTAAACTTGCATGTCAGGCAGATCGAATGCATCCAAGGAGCAAGCAACTGTTCCCGGCGGGTTGGGTGGTGTATCAGGTGGCCTCGAAAGCTCACGCCTATTGCAGCAATGTTGGGACTACACGACCAACACCAGACACAGTGGCACTTTGGCTCTGGTATGATCGAATCAAGTGAAAGAAGATACAGTGTCGAGGAGTCTGCAGAGTCTACTTTTGTGACGAATTTGTGGCCTCTACTTGCTGCAGCGACCTCTTCCGTGGCATGAACATTTCGTGCACTTTTGCACTTTCAATCCTGCTCCCGGCGGTGGTAGCATTGGACAACATTAGGAAAGGTTTCTATGCGATGGCGATGACCATCATCCTGCCATCTCGGGGAGACAAGGCTTCTCACAAGGACTCAAAAACCGGTCGAACATGTCTGGCGGCCAGGTCAATTGAACACACATGGCTGAATCTTGGCCGAAACCTTCCAGATGCACAGATTTGAATGGTGTGATCCTCCCCTTTTGCTTCTGTGCTGTCTGCTATCCACATTGATTTGGATCACTTGTGTCTGTCCCGTGTCCCGACCAGCTGATCCTGAAAATTTGGGCTTTGGACTCTTTCATGCTCTTTCGCCATAACTACTGTCTTCGTGCGTTGTTGAGACTGGAGCTTGAAGAACGTCTACAGGCATGGCTTCCTCGTCGGTTAAACTCGAACGGCTCTCGGCGGGGGGTCGGGACTGGTCATAATCCCAAAACCTCTACACTATAGACCCATCATTGACCAATTCCAGTTCTCCGGGAGCTGGACGGCTCGGGCCTATCGTCGTACGGCAACGCCTGGGCAAAGGCCCAAGGCTGTAGAGCACTTGCGCATTAGCTGGAAACTGATACACACAATCTTCCGTTGCCGGTCACAGTCGGAGCAGCTGCATAGCAGCAGTAGCAGTAGCAGTAGCAGTAGCAGTAGCAGTAGCAGTAGCAGTATCTGTAGCAGTAGCAGTAGGAGTAGGAGTAGGAGGAGTAAGAGTAGGAGAAGTAGTAGTAGTAGTAGTAGTAGTAGTAGTAGTAGTAGTAGCAGTAGCAGTAGCAGTAGCAGTAGCAGTAGTAGTAGTAGTAGTAGTAGTAGTAGCAGTAGCAGTAGCAGTAGCAGTAGCAGTAGTAGTAGTGATAGTAGTAGTTGTAGTAGCAGCAGCAGTAGCAGCAGTGGTGGTAGTGGTAGTGGTAGTGGCAGTAGTGGTGGTGGTGGTGGTGGTGGTGGTAGTAGTAGTAGTAGTAGAAGCAGCAGCAGCAGCAGCAGCGGCCCCTTCGGCGGGGGGTCGTCGTAGAAGTAGTATGTGGTCGTCGTCGCAGCAGCAGCAGCAGCAGTAGCAGTAGCAGTAGCAGCAGTTGTTACTGTTGACGCAACAGTGTGGCAACTGGTAGATAAGCAACGGTTTCTGTGTTGATCGGTATAAATCCGTCTGAACAAGATAACAGAAAGTCAAGCGCCTCGTTCGGCAGAACGGGATCATCGGCGTTGGCTGCGTCTCGAAGGCCCTCCAATCCCGGATACTCCTCCTGTTGACGGCTTCAATCGGCTGTGCCGGAGACATGCTACTTTCGATCTGTGCAAAGCGCAAAATATGTTTTCTCCTATTCTAAGTATAAAGTGAACGGAGCAACAGAAAGCGCTGGAAGCTTGCAGACACATGTGTCCTGCTCGAGAGCAAGCTGATCTTCGCTGTACCCCTTCCTTTCAGGCAGGTCTGATGCCCTAAACCCCTACCTGGACCCTATTAAAACCTTCCGTTTTCGGGCTCCTGATTATGCGATTATCATTTCCTTATAGAGGTCCTTGAAAAAGGTAGGTTCTTGAGGGTCCAGGTCCAGGTAAGTTTAACCGCGTATGATGTCTCGGATCTGGGGCCCTTGCTCAGTGTGGGGACTTTCGTCATACTGCGCCGGATCCTGGGCGACCTGGGCGGGGACCACTTCAGACTTACCCAACCCCGCTGAGCCCAAAGGTAACAAGACTAGAGCTTGAGTTTACTGAGGCATCCTAGGAGAAGGTAGGAAAGCGCAGGGATGCGCAGGGTAGACGAGGTTAGGTCCGGAGTTCTAGGGGGAAGGAGGGCTTTGCAACATTCGAGGATGGCCTGCGAAGCAATCTCCTCGAGGGGATCCTTCCTGAGCAGCTTCACCCGGAGTCGAAGCTTGACAGAAAATTCCTCTGCGGTTCGAACATAGCAAGCAGACTGTGCAAAATGCAGCTAAGTAATATCCAAGCCAGCAAGATGCTCCTCAATAGCATGGTATAACAGCATAATCTAGTATAACCATAGTAATATAGTAGAGTATAGCATAGTATAGTATGATTATATAGTACAATCATAATCTAGATGAGCAGGACAGGGCCTGCCTGCATTTCAGAAGCCTGGAGATGTAGTCCGTCAGCGGCCTTGGAATGTCAAAGAGTCGGATCGTGCAATCGTTCAAGGGGGTCTGACTCTCGGTGGCTTAGGTTCCCTTTCTTCGGGCCCCTTTTCCAACGCTGCTTAGTAGAGGGACATTCCGGCGCCCCATGGTTCACATCCCAGGTGCACCAACAGATGTATGCAGACGAAACTCTCAACAACGAATGCTGCGCTTCGTTTTCGACGGGGACGCATTCTAGGGTGCGCTCCGTGCCTCCGTGGAGTCAGCCGTGCTTCGCTAAAGAATTGTCACTTCTTGTAAGTGCAGAGTGTACTTCCTTCACCGCCTATCCAGGTATACAGTAGACAGACCAAGTGGCCTGTAGGGATTTGAGCCTGTGACACTTAGGGATCCCAAGATTATAGTGAAATTTGTCGAAATGAAGGGTCCTGCCTTTTATCCAGGCTCGGACATGGAACCCTCATGCAGGATCCAAGCAGCCAGCCCTCCCCTCCCCCCTCAACCCCCCAATGTAGGGCCTCAATTTACTTAGAACGGGGTTTTGGTGCTATGATTATAATAAGGAGCCCCCAAAATAGTATTGGCAATTAGAACGGGCCCTTTTCTCATACACTTTCAAAGGCATCCCTGGGCCAGATCTCAGGAGCTCCAGGCGCCCCTGCAAGGCAAAGAAGCAGCCCAAGAGCACCAGGAAGAAGATTCCGATCCTTCAAAGGGGAAATATAATGGGCTATATAATGGGTATATAATGGCTATATTATGGGTATATACCTAGGGGTCCTTATTAAGGGCCCCTGCTTTTACCCTTGGAATCCTGGGGCTCAGGGGGCTCTGAGGATTATGGGTCTTCTTCTTCTTCTTCGAATTACGGTTTAGAGTTTAGGGTTTAGGGATTATTTTGGGGGGTTCGATACTATAATCATGACAAAATGGGCCCGAAAACCCTATTCTAATTATAAAGACTTCGGTTTGGGGTTTAGGGATGTTTAGGGGGTTTAGGGTTTTACGGTTCCCCCAGAAAGCCTCACTGGTGAAAAGAACTCGTCCGCTGACACCTTCCGTGGTAACAGAGGCATTGAACATTCTGGCTCCGCAGCACACGCCCACCTCGACGTCAGAAGGCGACACAATCCGATCTGGCACCACACCTTTCCTTCGGCAGATCGAGCGCCTTTGCCTTGATACCAGTACAGTGTGCATGAGGAGCCAGTTCGGTGGTCATGCTCTGTCGAAGCCAAGGGGCACGTCTGTCATCACCTGTGAAGCTTCGATAATGACACCCAAGGGGTCCGTGCCCGCCTTCAGGCAATTCGTCAGACAGGTTCAGGCCATGAGCTCAATCGAAGCGTCTCGTGAGGTGGCGACCTGGAAAGACCACGTTGGCATTTCCATCGGAATTGTTGTGCGCACCGTGCCGTAGATGCTACACCTGAGCTCAACATTCCTGCTCAATGCCATGACGAGATGAGTCGAGGCCGTGCGTAGCTGCAACTGAAGTTCCACGAACCGTAGCAAAATGGTGGGAGCAGTAGCACAAAGAAGCCACCGTACGAGTAGGGTAACAGAATGCCAAGCGGAATAGCCGCAGCCGGTGTGGTTTCCGTGGCTGCTCAGCTTGAGTGGACCGCTCAGGATCAGGCAGCGGAAAGTTGTATGCGTATCCGGCGCACTGCGGATCGCCTTGCAGCATGGACAAGCGAGCTGGCCGAATCGCATGTTCTCCAACCCACTGCGAGCACACAAGCACAACTCAACAGCCGCGACCCTTCCTTGCTCTTCCGCACTCTACCCTGCCTGTGCAGATTCTCTCACATTCCCGCTGATCCTGCCAGGTTCTGCATGCCAAGACCATGTTAGCAACCTATAAAGCACGAACTGGCTTCTGCGGCATCTTCGCAGGATGAATATGTATACTTCCTTATTACTCAGAACCGATTCCTCTTTCTGGGCTCCCAAACGAAGATGTCGCTCACACGTGCACTCCCAACCTCCTTCTGATGTCAAGAACTGATCAAGTGTTGCTCCCACTTCAGCCGCCTTCACATCTCCCGCATAACGGGCCATACGCCGATTTTCACGATCAACACCTGGGCAATCGAATTGCTCGAATAACCACAGCCCAGCATGTAGCAGGGATGCTTTCGCTATTCTTGTTCTCATTTACATAGTCTGAATATCATGATATATCATGATTAATCTGACTATTGTTATTACTACTAAACTAGTGTTCCTATGATTAGAAGGGACAGCCATTGGTCACCGTAGGCTCAAGACATTCGCCTGCTCCAATGGTCTGATACCTGGCTGGCTGGAGCAAAAGGATTACTCCTCCGGCACTGTATGGGCTAACACTATGAGGGCTGCTATTAGAGCACTTTGTATTCTGTGTGGTAGCTTACTATAATATGATGGGGTTCTTCAGGGATTTTTGTAATCAAACTGATCCATGCTGCGCAGCAAGTAAGTGACACTCGCACAGTGTGCCCTCAAACAGGCCGGGCAAACTCGTAACCGTCGGCCAGCATGCCCATGCAAACTCCTTCAATGCACCTGCACAGTGCGAACAACAGGAGCCTTGATGCAGTATGGAGAGCCAGCAGAGGGCTCAATCATGCAGGCTCCACGAGTCGTTGCTTGTGGTGGGGTCTTGGTCATTGCACGGCCGATATCCAGGAGCCAGCGTCTGGCATGATCGCTGCATCGAACAGTTCAGATCATGCCAAAATCTTAATCAGAGAATTGATAACGATGATAACCATGATGCTAATGCTACATACTGGAAAACCACGATTAGTGTAAATATGAAATGCGAAGCAGTCATAGCAATAAGAATGGCAGGCTTCCTGCATTCTTCACGACACGCAGCTCAAACGTATGCCAGGATGACTGGTTCACTGCACAGCCCGGTCTTCGGATCACATCGGCCTTCGGATACAAGCAGAGAGGGATGCAACAAGGGCTCTGCTCTGCTCGGCCTGGATCGTAGCACCAGTTCGGTGCCTTGTTTCTACCACCGCAATAAGCAAAGGCGCAGGGAACTACATCTTTGTTGATTGTGCGCAAGGGACGCTCTCTCTCTCTCTCTCTGTCTTTCTTGCTGCCGAGCTTAGGGGTCAGCTGCCTGACCCTCAGGCGTTCAGCCCGCCCGTCCCCCCACTGGTTTAGTGATAGGACGGCATTGGAGTCTCTCTTTCTGTCTTTCAACAGCTTGGGGGCCACCCCCCGCAGGAGCAGCCCGGCTGTTGGAGGGAAGCACGGTATTACGTCCAAAAGAGGTGCGAGACACTCCGCGAGGCTGAACAAACAGCATGCATGCATGCATGCATGCAGGCAGGCAAATAGTACATCCGTTTAATGCATCCATGCATGCTCGCATGCATGCTTGCCAATCTACATTTCAATCAGTCTTGAGATGCCGGCCTCGCACACCACCCCTCGCTGCTCGCAAAGATCCTGTGGACGGCCTGCTTGGGTGAAAACTGGAAGTGTGATCAAACGTGAAATATCGATTCTGGCAACTTCACGAGTCACTGCGCCACATGGCTGGCCTACGCACAGGCCATTCTGGCACATGTCCTCTGGAAGATGCAGGGGTCACACGGGATGCAGCGACTCACTCACGTAAGACCCTCTGCCGGTGCTTCGGAACACCCATCGGGTCCTGAACAGTAAACTCCCGCCCGTCGTCACCTGCGACGCTTGAAAAGCACGCAACAGCTGGCAAATGAATCCAGGCGAACAGAACGGCATTCCACTTCGCGGTCTAGCCGCAAGGCGTTTCGTCCGGCAACTTCTCATACGTGCAGCGGCCGGTGGAGGGATGACCTTCGCCCAAGGGTGCAAACGAGTCCCGTTTGGCTTGTTCAAGACTTCTTGCGATGTGTCTAAGGCTGATGCACTCGCCACCAGATAAACACGAACTCAGCGGATCGCATGATACGTTGTACCTGTAAGTTAGGCATGTGTCAAAGCATCTCTAGTTGTGCAATGCACTTGGGGCACCCCAAACAAAAATCCGCGATGCCCTCGCAAAAGCCGTTCTGGCATGAGTCATTGAGGGTATAGAAGATGTTGTCGTCACAGGGGTAGCCGTTCACTTGGTTCTCATAGAAGCACCTCGGCAAAGGACATGGAGAGCTCTGAATATGGGATTACTATAATAAGGATTACTGTAAAGGCTACTACACCGGTTGCCCCTGACCTGAGGAATTCTATCTGGATTGCTAGAGGCTTCGGGCAATTGACTCTATGACTTCACTGCAGGTTCATGCGTGACCCACTTAGGTAAACTAGAAACACGAACTGCTAAAGCTCTTCGACTCTAGATTGGTGCTATGCGAGCAAGTCAAAGGGTTAAATCAACAGAAATACATAGGTCGAGTTGAAGGTCATGCGAAACCCATCTCTGGCAGCGGGTTAACACCTCGGTAGTTCCTGACTGGTGACGGTGAAGACCATGTGTCTGGGAGAGAGGCAAATTCGATGTCATCAGTGACGAATCAATCGCATGCCGGGATGTGATTCAAATTCACAGTATGATTGCCTGATTGCCTGCGGTTTCACACTCCACCCTCTTGCAACAAATGTGCCGCCCATTCCCTCCCCTCCCTGAGGCGTATTGACCCCAACGGCTGCAGAATTAATTTAGGTACTTCTTTTGTTTTTTTTCCGGTATTCTTTTTGCTTTCCTTCTTTTCTAGCAAATTACATGCAATTTACAAGTTGCACGACGTCTGAAGTGCCGACTTCTGTCTAAATGTACATCTGCAAGCGTGTCTACTCATGCAAGCTCTTTGCCTTCTGCAATGTGCACAACATAGCTCGATTCTTGCTCGGCCATCCGGAGGGTGCCGGGGTACAGCATGTTTTAGCTAGCGCATGGATTGCTGTCGCGCGTTTTTGCTGTTTTCGGGAGCTGGTCTTGGGGTCTTGGGGGGTGGGGGTGGGGGGGACTGATAACGTCCATTTCGCCACCATCACCATGATCATCGTCATCATTGTCATCATCACGGCATGGTCATCTTTTACGCTCCGGTACTCACATCATCCCCACATGAGGTTAGACCCTCAACACAACAATAATTCCACAGTGGCCCAGCAACAAAAAGACAACCCAAAGCATACAGATCTGCCCCCACCGAAAACAGCTAGTTCTAAGCCTAAAAACCGCCAAAGGCTGTAAATACCCAGGAATTCCTGACCTGTAACGTCCGATGTGGCATTTATTTTTATTTGGTTGCCCAAAGTCGTGCTTGCTGTTTGCGGGGTCTGGTCTTGAAGTTTTGGGGGTGGCGTGGGGGCTGATAATGTCCACTTCGCCACCATCATCATGATCATCGTCATCATTGCCATCATCATTGTCATCATCCTCGTCATCGTCACAGCATGGTCATCGTTTACGTTCACATGAGGTTAGACCTCAACATAACAATAAGTATACAGTGCCCCAACCAAATCAAAATACGACCCAAAACATAAAATTCGGCTCCCGCCGAAAACCGCTAGTGTTAAGCTTTCCTGACATTTTGGACGGATTTCGTGCTATTTCCCGCGTTTCGCTGACCTGAGCCTACATTACCTTAGTTGTTGTTGTTGTCCTGAGAAAAACCGACGTTACCTTGGTTGTGGTTGCGGTTGTTGTTGCTGCTATTATTGTTATTGGTATTATTCTTCTTGTGGCTGTTGTTAGCCTTTTTATTTCTCTATTGTTATGTATTGCCGTAATATTATTGTACCATTTTATTCATTGATTTATTTGATTTCCTGTTACTATCATATGTAATATTTGTTATTACTATTATTACTGTTGCTGTTGTTGTTGCTGCCATTGTTATCGTTGTGGTCGTTGTTGCTGTTCTCGTGATTCTCAGCCGTTGTTGTTGTTGTTGTTAGTGTCATTATTATGATTGTTTTTGTTGTTGTTATTGTTACTAGTGTCGTTGTCGTCGTTGTCGTTGCTGCTTTTGTTGTTGTGTCACTGCTTTTGTCGTTGTTGTTGTTGCTTTTGCTACTACCCTAACTGCAGTGGAGCTTAAAGAAAGCAGCAGCGTCTCCAGTTCAGAAAAGCGGGGGGTAAAGGGGAGGGAGCAAGCAGCAAAGCTTGCAGTTTAGACAAAGCGGGGGGGGGGTTGCGGGGGCGGAGCCGCCCCTCCATTTGTAAATCTTCCAAAAATGACATTGGTTTTTCGTTTTTACCCACTGAAGCGATTTCGTGTGGTTTCTCCAGTCTTGTGTGTTGGAGAAGACGCTTTTAGCCATTTATTCGTTTTACAAAGGAGACTCTTTTTCATTTTTTTGTCTTCTTGCTTTTTTACTCCCCAGCGAATACGTCTGGCTTTCGCCTTCTTCTTGTCTGTCGGTGAAGACGCTTCTTTTATGATTATTTTAATTTTCCTCGCTTTTAACCCCCTGAAGCGTTTTTGTGTGGCTTTCTCCTTCTCGTGTGTTGGGGAAAGACGTGTTTGTTCATTTCTTCACGGCTTAAGCGAGCGCGGGGGTTGGGGGGTCCAGCCCTCCCCCCATTTGCAGCGAGGGGGCCCCCTTCGAAGAGGGCTTCGAAGGCGATTTCGCAAGGAATTTCCTTTGCATGTTGGAGAAGATATTCTTAGTCTTTAATAATAGAATAGTAATAGTAATAAGTAATAAGTAATAAGTAATAAGTAATAAGTAATAAGAGTAAGAGTAAGAGTAAGAGTAAGAGTAAGAGTAATACTAATAGTAATAGTAATAGCAATGGTAATGGTACTATCAATAGTAATAGTACGAAAGCAAAGCCTTAAAGCAGGACAGCGGGTAAGCAGAGAAGTACAATAGATGAACAGCAAAAGGAAAGTAAAGGCAGAGGAAAGCAATCAACAAGAAAAAACAACAAGCAAGCAAAGCAGGGAAGAGCAGCAAGCGAAAACTTAAAAAAAGAAAAGCGAAGCAGACAGTCAGAGAAGCAGAAAAGCAGAGAAGCAGGAGAAGCGGAAAGCAGAGAAGCAGAAAAGCAGAGCAGCAGAAAGGCAGAGGACAGCAAAAGCAGAGAAAAGCAAAAGCACAAACGTAAAAACAGTAACAAAAAAACACTAAAGCAGGGAAGAGCTGCAAGCAAAAACTTAAAAAAACACACGAAGCAGACAATCAGAGAAGCAGCAGCGAGGAATCAGAAAAGCAGAGAAGCAAGAGAAGCGGAAAAGCAGACAAGCAGATAAGCACAAAAGCAGAGGAAAGCAGAAACGCAGAGGAAAGCAAAAAACACAAAAACACAAAACAAATTCCCTAAGAAAAAACACCTCTTCCTCAAATAATTAGGATTCCATTCCCTTCTTGCCAAGAAGCCCAGAACGCAGGAAGCTAGGAATCCGATAAGCCACGAAGCCAAAAAGCCAAGATGAAAAAGTCAGGCAGCCAGGCCAGGTGAAGAAGCCAGGAAGCCAACTAGGTTTAACGCGAAGCAGGCCAACAAGACAGCAAACCAGGAAGGAAAGCCCAGAAGCCAAATAAAAGACGACAGCAACAAAGCAAGGAACGCCCAGAAGCCCAAAAGGCAAAAACCAATTAAAGGACCGGATAACCCCACATGTGAAGCTTGTCTATTGGTAGACAGTCTAAAGACGCAAAAGAGTGAATGAAGATGGGAGTAAATGGATGAGTGATTGAAAGAATAAGTGGGTGCTGTTGTGACCACGTGTGTGTGTATGTATAGATGCGACAGAGCTGAGATCGGTTCTAGTGACCGCCGCTGGCACGTCGTTCTGCGCTGCACTTCCCGAGTGTGTGTGTGTGTGTGTGTGTGTGTGTGTGTGTGTGTGTGTGTGTGTGTGTGTGTGTGTGTGTGTGTGTGTGTGTGTGTGTGTGTGTGTGTGTGTGTGTGTGTGTGTGTGTGTGTGTGTGTGTGTGTGTGCGTGTGTGTTTGTGTGTGTGTGTGTTTGTGTGTGTATGTGTGGTTGCGTGTGTGTTTGTGTGTCGTTGCCTGCCTGTGGTCACACACACACACACATGGCTTCCGCGCGACCCATGCCTGAACGTGCAGTCAATCCCTGTGCACAGTCGCACACACACACACACACACATAAACACACACACATACGTAACACACACATGGCTTCCGCGCGACCCATGCCTGAACGTGCAGTCAATCCCTGTGCACAGTCGCACACACACACACATAAACACACACACATACGTACACACACACAGACACACACACACACACATGTACACACACACACACAGACATACACACACACACACACAGAGTCACGCGCATGCACACAGCACCGGCAAGTCACGGCACCAAGCTTTCGGCCGGGTTTGGTGCATGCCATTCGATTTCCTGCACATCCCTGTCCTTGTGTGTGTGCATGTGTGTGTGTGTGTGTGCTTGACAGAGCTGAGGCTCTGAGCGCCACAGCGGATGGTGCGGGCCCAAGTACGGATTGATTGCATGTGTGTGTGTGTGTGTGTGTGTGTGTGTGTGTGTGTGTGTCTGTGCATGTGTCTCTGTGTGTGTATGAATGTATATGTGTGTGTGTGTGTGTGGTGTGTGTGTGTGTGTGTACGTGTGTGTGTGTGTGTGTCTGTGGGCCCGGGAGGGTCTTTAGTCGCGGAAGAGTCTCGCCCCCAGGGCGCGCGCGGCCTTGGCCAGAGCCAGGCCCGGGAGGGTCTTTAGTCGCGGAAGAGTCTCGCCCCCAGGGCGCGCGCGGCCTTGCCCAGAGCAGGCCCGGGAGGGTCTTAAAGTCTTTAGTCGCGGAAGAGTCTCGCCCCCAGGGCGCGCGCGGCCTTGGCCAGAGCAGGCCCGGGAGGGTCTTTAGTCGCGAAAGAGTCTCGCCCCCAGCGCGCGCGCGGCCTTGGCCAGAGCAGGCTCGGGAGGGTCTTTAGTCGCGGAAGAGTCTCGCCCCCATGGCGCGCGCGGCCTTGCCCAGAGCAGGTCTGGGAGGGTCTGTAGTCGCGGAAGAGTCTCGCCCCCAAGGCGCGCGCGGCCTTGCCCAGAGCAGGCTCGGGAGGGTCTTTAGTCGCGGAAGAGTCTCGCCCCCAGCGGCCTTGCCCAGACCAGGCCGGGAGGGTCTTTAGTCGCGAAAGAGTCTCGCCCCCAGCGCGCGCCCGGCCTTGCCCAGAGCAGGCCCGGGAGAGTCTTTAGTCGCGGAAGACAGTCTCGCCCCCACGGCGCGCGCGGCCTTGCCCAGAGCAGGCCCGGGAAGGTCTTTGAAGAGTCTCGCCCCCAGGGCGCGTGCGCCATGGCAGAGCAGGCTCGGGAGGGTCTTTAGTCGCGGAAGAGTCTCGCCCCCAGCGCGCGCGCGGCCTTGGCCAGAGCAGGCCCGGGAGGGTCTTTAGTCGCGGAAGAGTCTCGCCCCCAGGGCGCGCGCTGCCTTGCCCAGAGTACGCCCGGGAGGGTCTTTAGTCCCAGGGCGCGCGCGGCCTTGCCCAGAGCAGGCCCGCGAGGGTCTTTAGTCGCGGAAGAGTCTCGCCCCCCAGGGCGCGCGCGGCCTTGGCCAGAGCAGGCTCGGGAGGGTCTTTAGTCGCGGAAGAGTCTCGCCCCCACACCGCGGGCGGCCTTGCCCAGAGCAGGCCGGGAGGGTCTTTAGTCGCGGAAGAGTCTCGCCCCCAGGGCGCGCGCGGCCTTGGCCCCGGAGGGTCTTTAGTCGCGGAAGAGTCTCGCCCCCAGCGCGCGCGCGGTCTTGCCCAGAGCACGCCCGGGAGGGTCTTTAGTTGCGGAAGAGTCTCGCCCCCAGGGCGCGCGCGGCCTTGCCCAGACCAGGCCGGGAAGGTCTTTAGTCGCGGAAGAGTCTCGCCCCCAGGGCGCGCGCGGCCTTGCCCAGAGCAGGCCCGCGAGGGTCTTTAGTCGCGGAAGAGTCTCGCCCCCAGGGCGCGCGCGGCCTTGGCCAGAGCAGGCTCGGGAGGGTCTTTAGTCGCGGAAGAGTCTCGTCCCCACACCGCGGGCGGCCTTGCCCAGAGCAGGCCGGGAGGGTCTTTAGTCGCGGAAGAGTCTCGCCCCCAGGGCGCGCGCGGCCTTGGCCCGGGAGGGTCTTTAGTCGCGGAAGAGTCTCGCCCCCAGCGCGCGCGCGGTCTTGGCCGGAGCAGCCCGGGAGGGTCTTTAGTCGCGGAAGAGTCTCGCCCCCAGGGCGCGCGCGGCCTTGGCCAGAGTAGGCCTCCTGGTCTTTAGTCGCGGAAGAGTCTCGCCCCCAGCGCGCGCGCGGCCTTGGCCAGAGCAGGCCGGGGTCTGTGTGTGTCTGTGTCCGTACATCTGTGTGTACATGTGTCTGTGTCTGTGTCTGCATCATGAGGAGGCGAAGGAGGAGGATGAGGAGGCGGAGGAGGAGGCGGAGGAGGCGGAGGAGGAGGAGGAGAAGGCGGAGGCGGAGGCGGAGGAGAAGGCGGGACAGCCCCAAAAAGTAAGAACCCCACACAGTGATGTGGGGAAAAACGAAAAAATACCCAAAGAAAAACAACAAAATACCTAACAAATGGGATTCCCTGGGATAGCGTCCCTGGGAACGACAAGCCTGAACTTGATTCAGCCTAACCCGAACTTACAGCCATCGTATACCATCAGCAAACAAGATGCAAGAAGATGCCGAACTGTTTCTAGAAACTAGATTTTACCTCTGCTCGCGACACTCTGTGCCGGAGCGTTCATGTCAACGCCTCGCCCAACACCGATATCGACCGACACGTACGTTCTGGGTTATCTTGCCTCCTCTGCGGCACCGCCCGCTGTTTGATGCAGACCGGTGTATTGCCTGGTGTTATAGACCTGCATCGTTTGATCCGAGATGGTCGGTCACAAGCAACCACCCTTTCTCTGCAATAATACATCGTGTTGCTTGTGGAAAGCATGTGTTTACGTTTGACTAAGTGTGGGGGATTTTGCATGTGGCTCTTGCTGACGAAATGATGAAGTCTGTGGCTGGCACAAGCCCTTCTCGGAGTCACATCGGCCAGGTGCCTGCGTTCGCTTGAAAGTGAACTAAACAAGTTACGAAAAACGATCGGCCAACCCTCACAACAACTCACATTCGATAGTCGTTTTTGCAACGGAGGTGGCATAAGGGTGTGCCAAGGCAACAGATTGGCATTGTGAATGCCGCTGCGCTCTCTCAGAGTGAAACATGGCCGCCAGTTGGCGACAGTCGCTGAGCTTCTTCACTGCTTTTTCGTTCTGGCTTCTGGTGTCTCCTCGCGGTGCTTGCGAGGCGCGCCGACAGACCGGTGCCGAGTTTTGCTGGATGAACTATGAGGAAACAGACTGCAGGCTGCCTTGCTAGTTAGTTAATTCTCTGGTGTCCTCAGCACCGAAGAAGCCTTGTATGCTGGGCGCCTTCTTTCCCAGGCCATAATACCTGGCAAGATGCGCGAGGCGTCGGCAGCAACTGTCGGAGGCAGGTGCTCGCAGGTCACCAAGCGGTCGAGCCGAGCATGGACAAGAACACGCTGCCAAATACCATGCAAATCAGGAGGTAGCCGATGGCCCACACCCCGGCATGCATCCTGAAGTGCCCACACCATCAAAGCATTCAGAGACACCGGAAAGCTTTGGATAAGTCTCGGGCTTGGTGCTAGATGCATGCTCCACCCATCGCACCAATAGGGCATCCGGTGCGCTGACCTTGCAAGGAAGGATATCGCCAAATAATCAGTTATTCTCAGTACTGTCAGTGTCTGAGTTAAACTACTATGAACACTTCCCTGTTACTATTGCTATTGCCATTGCCATCACTACTACTAACTACTATTGCCATTACATGCTAGCACCATTGCTGTGACCATTTCATTAGTGTTACTCTTGCGATCACTGTTACTGTTCCTGCTACTGTTACTGCCACTACCATTGCGATCACTTTTGCGAAAACGTCTGCTCTTCCTAGTCAAATTGGGATGACGGCAACTATCAATATTACCGTCACTGTTGCTTTTACGAGTACACTAGTATTGTACTACATGCTACTACTACTGCTACGACGACGACTACTACTACTGCTGCTACTACTACTACTAGTAGTACTACTATTACTATTACTATTACTATTACTATTACTATTACTATTACAATTACTATTACAATTACGATTACGATTACGATTACGGCTACTACTACTACTACTACTACTACTACTACTACTACTACTACTACTACTACCACTACTACGACTACTACTACTACTACTACTACTACTACTACTACTACTACTACTACTACTACTACTACTACTACTACTACTACTACTCTTACTGCTACTGCGGCTGCGATGGCGACTGCTACTGCTCCTGCTGCTCCTGCTGCTGCTGCTGCTGCTACTGCCACTGCTGCTCCTACTATTACTCTTACAGTTCTTACCATTCTTACTATCAGCATTATTGTCCTCATCATTCACTTTTCTGATACTGTCAGCTGCTACTTTGCTGTGAGCCCTGAGTTTGTGGCGAGGCCATAGGTAGCTTCAGCCTTTGCGATGGCCTTCTGAAAGGATGCCACGTTGCAGCCTGGGCTCTCTCGAAAGTTGACGGGCTTGGGGGCTGGGGCTTTACCTTACGTGCCACTGGAATGCGCAGATCGGCAGGGCGCCCGTTCGAGCCGGAGAAGCCAGGACCAGTGCAGGGGAGACGGTAACGCAAGGAAACGCCAAGATCCTCCGACGCGAAGCTCGCGCTTCGCAGAGCTTCTGCACTACAAGTAGTGACTATAAGGGCATCAACTCGACCGAAGACCGACGAATATCCCCCGGGGCCGCAGAGATGCGTCAGCCATAAGCTCCACACCCTCGACCCGAAACCAACATCCTAAACCCTACATGTCCCCAAATGGTACACCCTCCACCCTGCACCCGAAAACCGCTCGAACCGAAACAACTACGGAAGGCCCTTTCGGAATTCAGCTTCGTCTTGGAGCCCGGCTGGGGCACGGGAAGCCGCCGGCGAGCTGCACGACCTATAGCAGCAGCCCGGCTTGGGCCAACTCTCAAGAAAAGCACATCCAAGAATCCAGAAGACTGTACTCCCAATGCAGAGTTGAGAGTGTCTCGAATTCAGTTGCACCACCCTGGTCTCAGAGCTCCCAGCCCCATGGCCAGCTGCAGAGTCCCGGGACTCGGTGAGCAAGCTTCTCATGGCCCTCCCCTCTTTGTCTGCTGCATCCACTCACGCACGGACACAAAGCATATCAGGCACCAACACCATCGCAGGAAAAGTAGCCAGACCTGGGAGAGGCAAGCGGTGCTCAGACTCTACGGACATAGGGCGCAAGGGCACAAGCACAATCTGATGGTGTACAGTATCACATCACCCCTTCCCCGACTCACCCAAACTGTGGTAAAGCTGGCTTTGCAGAAGCGCGCTTCATTCATGCTGCAGTGCATGCTGTTTTGTTGAACTGATCACTCTTCGGCTGGTCTCTCCCGAACCCAGCCTCTTCTCACTAAACCCCCGCTCCGTGCCCATTATCAACTTTGAAGCTACTAATACAGAGACACGCGTCTCCTCTCAGATTTCTGGCTACGCCTTCACAGTGCGCAGCGATTCTAGCGGAGACATGTCGTCGACCATCTTAATTTGCCGGCTCTGGGGGAAAAAGCATTGTTCCCTTGCGCCTTGCACCGATTTCACCGCTCATCGCGTACTGTAAAGGAGATCAAGGAGTCACCACGGGATTCTAACACAATCCCTGCAGCGCGGAGCACATTTCATGCTCTCGGCTTCGATACGACCAACACAAAACCAGCACTCAACACCCAGCGCTTGAGCTCTGGAAGGACAAGGTGTCTACGATGCCTACATACAAGCACAAGCAGAGTGACAAACGTACAGCCACGTTTCCTGCACCTCCCGGCCCTCACCCCCAAGCCCTTAGACTGTTGAAATTCTCGAAGCCCCTGTGGATCTGAGGTTGGTATCGAGAGCCTGGCTTGCTGCAGCAGTCAATGCCAACCTGAGCATGGCATATCTGGCAACGAAGTGAGCAGATGCACGTGCTTTCGAACCTACTCTGCAACGGTTGGCAGCTGTAGCTGAGACAAGCTAGCCGCTAGCCATGAGCTTCAATGTCTTCATGAGCAGGTTCGTCCATGGGCTCTGAGGTGCACGCTGCCCAATAGTTTACTCTCGGGAAGTCAGCGCCAGCTGTGTCTGGACCTGACAGCAGTTTCTCCGAGTGTAAAGCAGGCTGTGCGAAGTGCCCCTGATAAGGAGGCCGCTGAGAACGGGGGCTACGCAGAACAGCTGGGTGTCCTCAGCTTCTTGCAACCAAACAATATGTAATATAGGCTCCTTAATAAATAGACTGGGGTTCCCTTTAAAGGGGTCCATATAAGGGTTACTATAGGGGATCTATAGTAGGGTTCTATAATATCACTGCCAAGAACTTCTGTCAGCATCTGTCCTTGAAGCCAACGGATCGGCTGGAATCCACCGAGGTGTGGTCGAAGGTCCCGTTGACCTGGCACAACTGCAAAGGATTAGGGGGTTTCTGAAAATAGGGGTACCTTGAGTTGACCCTTGTTGCATTAATGGGTCGCACAAACACAAGCACAAAAAAAACACAACGGAATAGGGCCCAACTGATGGCGGACATGATTCATATGGAACCATGTCAGGCGTCCAGTTCGAGGTTTCGGGGTTATGGTTTAAGGCTTAAGGTTTAGGGTTTAGGCTTGGGGTTTAGGGTTTATTTAGGCTTAGGGTTTAGGCTTTAGGATTTACACACCCTAAACTCGACTAAACGGCCGAAACCCTGGCTAGGAATTGACTGGCTTTTTGCCCCAACTCGGCACCACCTTGACGGCCACCCACGCACCCACCAACAGCCGGCGCCGGGCCCGATCCTAGCCTGCGCCGGGCCGTCACCCACAAGACCACCCATTACCAAAAAGATTGGTCACACCTACCCACCCAGTCACCAGCAGCCTTTAGAGGAAAGAGATAGTAGTAGTAGATGTTGTTGTTGTTCTTGTTGTTCTTCTTGCTGTCGTGGTTGTGGTTGTTGTTGTTGTTGCACAGGCTGCAGAGCGTGCCGGAAATTTGGCGTGGTGCCGCGACGATTTCGGGTGTCCACCCACTCACCCACCCACCCACCGGCCAGGCATGCACCCAATCACCGCCTTGACAGCCACCAAAAAGACTGGTCACACCCTCTCACCTACTCACCAACGGGCCGGCGCCGGACCGGGATCTCGGCCTGCGCCGTTCCGTCACCATCCACCACCAGCCACCCATCTCAGCACCACCTTGACGGCCACCCATACCCATACCACCCACCAAGACAACCCAAAAAGATTGGTCACACCTCTCACCAACTCACCAACGGGCCGGCGTCGGGCCGAGAATTCGGCCTGCGCCGTTCCGTCACCATCCACCAGCCACCCATCTCAGCACAACCTTGACGGCCACCCATACCATATCGTACCCACCGAGACCTCACCAACGGCCGGCGCCGGACCAGGACCCCAGCCTGCACCGTTCCGTCCCCTGCCCACCAGCCACCCAAAGAGATTGGCACCCACCCACTCACCCAGATCACCATCTTCACACCACCCACCCACCCACCCACCCACCAACGCCCGGCGCCGGAGCCGAATGGGAGAAACCTCTCAAGAGGTCGCAGAAGAGGGCTGGGCCAGCACCGGACCCGCTAAAAGGGCCGCAGAAGGGCAGGTGGGACCGGCCCCACCAGACCCGGCACGGCCCGGCGCCGGAGTTGGCACGGCCCGGCGCTGGAGCTAGCACGGCCCGGCGCCGGAGCTGGCACGGCCCAGCGCCGGGCCGTGCCGGCTCCAGCGCCGGGGCCGGCACGCCAGGTTCCGCGCCAGGATCGCCACAGAAGGTAAGAAGCAGGGCCGACGGATCAGTTCCAGATCACGATTTTGCTGCTATTCTTGTGCTATTTCTTGTGTTTTTTTTTTGTGCTCGTGATTTGTAGATTGTGCTCCAAAATTGTGCTATTTCTGGTGCTTTTTTTGTGCTCGTGATTTGTAGATTGTGCTCCAAAATTGTGCTATTTCTTGTGCTTTTCTTGTGCTCGTGATTTGTAGATTGTGCTCCGAAATTGTGCTATTTCTTGTGCCTTTTTTTGTGCTCGTGATTTGTAGATTGTGCTCCAAAATTGTGCTATTTCTGGTGCTTTTTTTGTGCTCGTGATTTGTAGATTGTGCTCCAAAACTGTGCTATTTCTGGTGCTTTTTTTGTGCTCGTGATTTGTAGATTGTGATACAAAATTGTGCTATTTCTTGTGCTTTTTTTTGTGCTCGTGATTTGTAGATTGTGCTCCAAAATTGTGCTAATTCTGGTGCTTTGTTCTTTTCCTAGTTCTACGGCTGCATTTATAATTAGATTTATATAAATCTCAATTCACAGCGCTCGTAGTTTCCAAAAAAAATAACTAGATTGTGCTCCAAAATTGTGCTATTTCTGGTGCTTTTTTTGTGCTCGTGATTTGTAGATTGTGCTCCAAAATTGTGCTATTTCTTGTGCTTTTCTTGTGCTCGTGATTTGTAGATTGTGCTCCGAAATTGTGCTATTTCTTGTGCTTTTTTTTGTGCTCGTGATTTGTAGATTGTGCTCCAAAATTGTGCTATTTCTGGTGCTTTTTTTGTGCTCGTGATTTGTAGATTGTGCTCCAAAATGTGCTATTTCTGGTGCTTTTTTTGTGCTCGTGATTTGTAGATTGTGCAAAATTGTGCTATTTCTTGTGCTTTTTTTTGTGCTCGTGATTTGTAGATTGTGCTCCAAAATTGTGCTAATTCTGGTGCTTTGTTCTTTTCCTAGTTCTACGGCTGCGTTTATAATTAGATTTATATAAATCTCAATTCACAGCGCTCGTAGTTTCCAAAAAAAATAACTAGATTGTGCTCCAAAATTGTGCTATTTCTGGTGCTTTTTTTTGTGCTCGTGATTTGTAGATTGTGCTCCAAAATTGTGCTATTTCTGGTGCTTTTTTTGTGCTCGTGATTTGTAGATTGTGCTCCAAAATTGTGCTATTTCTGGTGCTTTTTTTGTGCTCGTGATTTGTAGATTGTGCTCCAAAATTGTTCTATTTCTGGTGCTTTTTTTGTGCTCGTGATTTGTAGATTGTGATACAAAATTGTGCTATTTCTGGTGCTTTTTTTGTGCTCGTGATTTGTAGATTGTGCTCCAAAATTGTGCTATTTCTGGTGCTTTTCTTGTGCTCGTGATTTGTAGATTGTGCTTCAAAATTGTGCTTTCATGAACTGGAAATCAATCTAGGCCGCAGGCTTCCTTGAGGCTCTCGGCCGCACAGGTGGGCCTCAAAAATCGTGGTCCTAGTTTCTAGTCTGCGCTTCAAAACTGTGCTTCCTCTCGTGCTCTGTTCTGCTTTTGGTGGGTATCCTGCCCTGTCTCCTCTGGGTGCCCCCCCTACAGCCCCCAGCAAAAAATTCTCGATCAGCCCGCGATACGGGGTATGACTATGCCGCCTGTGATTCTGACTCAGTATCCAAATATGCCTCGGTATGATTCGGTATGATGTGGTCCGATTTGGGGACGTCGTATATGCGGTCTGGTGTTTTCATTTTTTTATGTTTTAGGGTCTAAATCAGTTTGGGGGTGCACCTGCAGCGCACTACACCACCCCAGGCAACCGCCTAGGTAGGTATCCAACAAGGGCTACATACACGCGGGTTGGGTGGGCACTTCGAAGTTGCCCCAAACAGTGAATATTTCCGCTAGCACACACTGCCGTTCCTAGCGGCACGATTGCATCCCAGACCTTCATCATTACCTACAAGTCTAGCACTGCCAACCACTTCTTCGAATTACCGCCGCTCCAAACCACCGCCACCACCATGAAACATTACAATAGCCTGGCCCTCATGATCATCCCACTCCAGGCGATATTGTGACAAGTGTGAAGTCTGATAAGTGATATGATATGATGTGATAATATGATGTGATAAATGATATGATATGGGGATATGATATGGCTCTAAAGAAGCCTGTGCTGATGCCATAGGCCTTGGGATGGCTGGCACATGCTATTCGTGTTCTGCCTGTTCTGCCTTGCTGAAAGTTTGGACATTGAGGACGAGGAATAATACCAGGACCGAGACTAATTTTTGATAGACAGACAAGAAAGCAACATTAAATTGCTTTGGCACGCTGGAGTTCCCGCAATTTTCATCTGCGGCCATGCCAAGATAGCGCTCGGCTCTATTGGCTTTTGAACACCCAGCAGATCTAAGTTATGCTTTTAGAACTTTTAGTCTTAGTCTTATATCGAACTGACTGTAACATATAGTCAAGTGTGAGCCTGCCAAGAGCTCCCTATCACCCCCCTCGTCCTCTCCCCTCTTCCCTCCTCCTCCCCCTCCTCCTCCTCCTCCTCCTCCTCCTCCCCCTCCCTCCTCCTCCCTCCTCCCCTCCTCCTCCTCCTCCTCCTCCTCCTCCCTCCTCCTCCCTCTTCTCTCTTCTCTCCCTCTTCCCTCCTGCTCCTCCTCCTCCTCCCTCTTCCCTGCTGCCTCCTCCCTCTTCCTTCGCCGTCCCTAAATCATGCTTTTCAGAAGTGTCACCCCTAAATAGGCCCAAGTGGAATTATTTTCTTGTGCTTTTTTTACAGGGTAGTTTTATTTAAATCCCATTATTTAACCATTAATGGGGAGAGGATCGACTCAAGGGGTACCTTGTTCTGGGGTCCGTATAATAAGGATGCTGTTTTCGGAAACTCCCATTAGGGTGTATCGGACGCAGTGACGGTGAAGTGTCTTGGTCCGAGCGCTGCACCTGCAGCTTCCGTACAAGAACGGATAACAGTAAGAATATCAAGAATACATAAGAATACCAACAATAATCAGACAAATAATAATCACAACAATAAATAGTAAAGGCCCATACCCGGTCGGTGCTGAGGCAAAATTGAATGCGGCCAAGCTTCCCCTCGGAATGACAATGTGGCGGCGTCCTCGATTTCTGCACTTGCACTTCTACAGATGTGTTCGTTTTTGCGCAAGTGCACACGCACTGCCTGTGCACTCGTACCCGCATGCAAAGGCAGTCTTACTAACATAACTAAGTATGTAAGAAACAAACGATATATGCATATGCACTTGCTGAGCATCGTGCCACAACGCATCACAGCATGACACAACTGAGGGCTGTGTGCATGTCTATGCATGCAGGGAAAGTTTGAATGCTTCACGACACCCTCGTCATGACTGAGGTGCAAGCCGAGCGAGCTCCCGCTGGTGTTGCTGCGACGGTCCTCTGAGGCATCTGCACAAACACAAGTAAATGCGCTGTGTGGAAAAGAAGGAGTTCAAGCTCTTCCCAACATCTCAGGACTCAGCGGAACTTCCTGCTGCCTGCAGTCTACCCATGGCAGCTTGCTGGCAATTTAGCCGGGGTTATCACTGTCGTTGGTTGGGTCTTGGCATGTCTCACATGTCGTGCAGCACTGCTAGTCGAGGGAGCCACCCTATGTTCATCCACCAGAACAGCCGCCAGTGCTGATCCCATCCTCCGGGGCTCTGAATGCTGCACAGCGACACTGACTCGAAAACACCTGACACACTTCGTATCTGCGATTTTATGTCAACTGTGCAGCCCGGCCTTGCTGCCCCAGAAGGGTTCCCATGACGATGGCCACAATGCAAAGAAAACCCAGAGCTGCCAGAGAAACGGGGCCCCAACCTGGAGACAAAACACAGGTACAGGGGTCTCTGAGAAAATTCAGCCTTCTTCAGAAGTCTCAACTTTCAGAGACTTCGGTTCGTCAGTCTCCGAGGCGAACAGGAACGGCTCGTCTGGGGCAGGCACGCATTCCATAGAACCACATCGTCACGGCACTTGCAGAAACCACCGAAAGCGTCACCGTCATCCTTTCAGCATGCCATGAGTGCGCAGAACATGCAAGCACGTCGTCTACATGCAAAAGCTCGTGTAGGCCCTGCGCAGCCAGCAGGCATTGATGGAGATGTGAGCCAACATACACCAAATAATCATCTCCTGAGCAAAGCCTACCTCTCTTTGGTTGCCTCTTCGCTCAGCTCAGGCGCTGACCCAAAGGAAGATGAGGACTGGAACCAGGACGAGGATCGTCCGCCTGGGAGTCTCTGTCAGAGACGTGTAACCGTGCAATCTGGAGTCTGAGTGTGCACGTACATATATCTATCCATCCATCTGTCTATAGGTAGACATACATATACGTACAAGCACGCACATACCTACCAACACACACATACATTTAACATATGCATGTGAAGGTGAACCTGAGCCCCTGTCGCACGAGGCTGTCGATCCTTGTCGCCGGCTCCCAAGAAAGAGTACGCTCCTTCGTACCTAGGCAGCAAGCAGCAAGTACGTAGCAGAGGTGGCTGGGTATTCCTGCGAGACCGGTTCTCAGCATCCTGCGCTTGCTGCTTATCCCGGGCAGGGTCCTGCAAGATCAAGACTCCGACCCTATCTCTGATCATGAGAAGCGCAAGGTCTTGTGGGCGCCTCCGCCACCGTGAAATGAGGCGGTGGAGGAAGATCTGCACTCGGCGCGTACGGCGGGGCCTCGTTCCAGGGATGGGTGAATTCAATTCTGCCTGCGCATCTAATGACCTCTTGTGGAGACCTGTGTCTTTAAACCACGAAGAATATAGTAGTAAGACTACTAGCAAATATAATATTAGTAGTAATAGTAGTAGCAATAAAAATAGTTACAGTAACAGTAATCGCCTGTCCAGGACCCTGCGTCGCGAAGGCAGCAGCCATGAAGGGATCCTCTGATAGCTTCACTTGCCCAAGGTTCACCTGGCATCTCGGTCTTCGTGGTGCTTAGAAAAGACAACTTTGTGATGAGAAGAGCGTCTCTGGCTATGGTCCATGGCCTGTGATGCAGGGGCTGTTGGGGCCTGATCGGACCTCGGGAGCTGCGCTCATTGCGCTAACACCAGACGGCCGCAGACGAAAGCATCTCGGGCTCTGACTGCATGTAGAGGCCGGGTTGGGTTCCATATCGAGGCCTGAAGTCTCAAGATTTCACTGGCCGCTTTAGCTCCACTTCTTTTCGATCTGCAGAGACTGGGGTCGAAGCCCTCCCTGGCCGCTCTGCAGGTGCGTCAAGAAGGGGTCCGCTGGCACCTCAGCCCAGCGCAATGGTCAATGGTGCTGGCAGCCATGGTGCCAGGAGAGTAGCTGGGGGACTCACCGGCTTGCATTGTCTCTCCCAGTACTCCTGCACCTCAGTCAGGGCAGGCCGCAACCCCCGAGGCGGCACTTAACTCATTGAGTCCGCAACCTGCTGCGGGGAGTATTCCTCAAGCTTCTCACTCTCATGTAACTAACACAAGTCAAGCCTCAATGTCTGAGATCCATGCGGACTGATATCGCTTGACGACTTCTTCGAAAGTTCTGACCTGTTTACAGACGAGGCATTTTTCTGCGCATCTTCTGACTGCTTTTTGCCAGCTGCGACAGGCACCGTACCTTGCCATCCTCGGGATCAATTCTTCTTTCTGCCATCGCCACACTATCGCATGAGGCCTCGGAAGCAGAAGGATACCCTGCCCAGCAAGGAACCCTAGACCCTAAACCCTAAATCCTAAACCCTAACCCAAGGCCCGAGATCTTCCAAGGCCCAAGCTTCTGGCCAGTGTTCGCTTCGCTGATAAGAAGGACAAGCCACGGCAGGGGAAGGCCAGTGACAGTCCCAAGCGTGGCTCTGATTTTTGAGCCGGGCTCGGGTCGGACAAGCAATTATGTATGTATGTATGTATATATATATATATATATATATATATATACATATAGTAAACTAATTAATACTCAAAGCCAAGGGATCCAAAGAGTACAGGATTGAGAGTCAGCAATCAAAGCTATGAGGACGTTGTGCTTCCTAGGATTGATGTATGTCGTCCCGGCCTCGCACTGATGCCGTGGTGAGCAGTCGACCTTGGTGTAGAGGGATGCACGGCAATCCGAAGGTCCAAATGAAAGGTTCCGGTGTTAGCAATCCTTACTTGAAACTCGATTGTGGGAGGGCCTTTCTGTGAAGGTATCTTCATGTCAAGACAGTCGAAAAAGGGAAGTCTTCACCAGAAGCGATGCCTGAGAAACTGGTGTCAGTTGGCTCGGAGCAAAGACTAGTAAAGACACTGCATCTTGAGCAAAATGCTGCTATGCCATCCAAAAAGGCACCTATGAACACGGAGAGAGAACTGAGGATGAGGCATCATCAATCAGGCACAGGTCGGGTGTGCAATATCGATAGGTATTGCACGTCACACCATCCGTGTGCTTGCATGATGCTGGCGTCAGGGCACAGTCGTAGAACAGATCGTCCCTGCCGCAGGTCGACTTCAGTTCCCGTGAAATCTCGACTGCTGCTGCGTCATGCTTCAATCGTGCCTCCTGTTGACCACGCCATCGCTGAAAGTAAAGCCGTCGCAAAACGAGGGCTGCTGGCTGCCTTTGAACCTCAGCTGCAGCCTCTGGTCTTGAGACTTGGATGTTGGTTAGAATGTGGCAAGACCAACCCATCAAACTCATCTTGGCTACGATGAAGGCTCCGGCTTTCGGCACGTGCAGGTGTTGTAGTTGCCGCACGTTCGCATGCACTCGCGTGCCTGGATCCAAGTGTGGCATCACGAGCGCGATGCGTCGATGATGGTAACGCTACTGGTGATGATGGTGCTGCTGCTGGTAGTGACATGTAGTGACATTGATAAGGATGAAGATGCTGATGATCGGGTGATGAGCTTCCACGTGAGGCTGTGTTGATGCCGCCGTCATTGCTACTCCGGCGGATGAGATGGCACTGATGATGTCGATGACGACAAGGATGATCATGATGATGACAGGATAAGGACTGATCTGGCGATGCGCTGACAAGAAGTCACTGTAGGATACTATGGCTGACGTCCCTGCCTCGTCTGAGGCGCACATGGTTTCGTTGACCTGCGCAGCTTCATTCATGCCAATGCTTTTCTGGAATCTCACAGAGGTTTCCTTTTGAGCCCAACCCTGGCCGGTGCCTCACATGCAGGCCGACATCGGTGGTTCATGAAATCGTTGGCGGTTTCATTGCACCATATCCTTGCAACGGACGTGGGTAGCTCGGCTTCGCCAGGCCCGATGCAAAGCGTGATTCTTTCTACCCTCTCTTTTTGGCAGGTCATGCTGGAGAAATTCCGGACTCTGCTCAGGAGGAAGCGCTGCAGTGGCTGGCTCATTCAGGACCTGCATCGCGAGGTAGCTTCTGTGTCGGCATGCGCTGTTTGTACTTTCAATCCACCCACTTTGCAGTGTTCGTAGCGCCTCGAAATGACAGCGTGGCAGAGTCAACGAGTCACTACAACTTGTACCCTTTTGCCTGAAGCTGGAAGCGGCACTCCTGCCGCAAGCGCAGGCCAAGTTCCTTGGCAAGCATAGTGAGGATGCTCCGCCCACACAGATGACAAGTTGAAATTTGTAAGCTATCCGCCCAACAGTCCCCACACACCAGAGGGCAGTGTGTGTCTATTGCCTGGCAGAATCTGAATTGGCACATCCTACCCCATCAGGCCCAAGAACATCAGAAGTGCAGAAGCTTCTGACCCGCAGCATGCCTCAAGCCAAGGCAGGCAGTCTTCCTGCGTGAAACCCCAGTTTGCGTACCTCAGACAGAGTGCTCGAAGATCTATGTGGGTGGTTGTCAAAATTAGGGTCCCTTTTTGGGTCCCTATTACAATGCGGCACCTAATATTTAAGGTACCCCCAATTTTGACAACCATCTATGTCTGCTCATGAGAATCTGTTACTGAGGCCCGAGCTCCATGCAGGCTTGCCGGGCCTCTTCCCGCCTAAGGCAGGCGAGTACTACGACTGGCGCGGGAAGTGGGGGAGACTAGCAACAGCAACACCCAAGAGACTTCGGGACTACTACGACTACTAGGTAAGTACTAGTAGGACTGCTACCCGCTACTACCAAAACCATCGCTACCACTCCCAAAACTACCGCTAGCACTACCGCCGACACCACTGCCTCTGTCACCTACCGCCACTGCCACTGCCACAACAACAACAACTACTACTACTACTACTACCACCACCACCACCACTACTTCCACTGCCACTACCTCTACCACTCCCACTTCCCGTCACTACGACTACTGCCGCTACTACTACTACTACTACTACTACTACTACTACGACTACTACTACTACGACTACCGCTACTGTACTTGTACCACTGCCACTGCTACTGTCACAGGGCACTGTGAGTAGTTTCTTGTTTAGAAGACGACGGACGACAACTGTTTTTGAGTCGCGTAAAGACCGATCAACATCCCTGGGAGAACCCGGACTGCTGTTGGTGGAGCTAGGGCAACCAGAAGGACAGCAAACCCATGAACAAACCATAAAGCATGTGAACCGTGTGCAAACTCGGGCGGGCAGCTAAGGTCACTGCAATCGCGCACAGCAAACGTTGTAGTAGCTGGAAACCTCCGGACCTGAAAGAGTCCAGCAGTTCTCATCATGACGTGTCTGCAAAAGACTCCTTGCGCTACAAACTCGGAGCGCTGCATTCTCTGAAGGCTGAGAGATCCTGGGCCACCACATACCCCACATAGACCAAGCTTCCTGTCAGACAGCTCAACCACTTCCACTGATTCTCGTGCCCTGCGCACCGCCACGGGCCTAGCAGCCCGTGGAAGAGGGCCATGCTGCGCTGCTCCTAACACTTACATCCCATTCCGCTGGGCTGAAGACGACCCTAGGCACCAGGCAAAGTGTGGCCAACACATCTGGACAGTGAATGCTTCTCTGCTATGGCTTGTTGGCATTCGAGCCTGCCTCTGTCTGCGTGTCATTGTACAAGACATCAGCTCTCGAGCACCCCGAGCACATCAGGGCAAACTTGTGCCTTGCTTCTATGACCCCAGGGCTCTAGCTACTTCCAGGTCGAAGAAGGACAGTCGTCAACGTACGGCGCGCGACACATTTTCTGCGGCTCTTCGGCTTGCGGTGTCTTGGAAAATTGGCCCCTCACGAGGCCTGGGTGAGTTGTACTGTCTGGTATCATCTTGTACCTACATCTTATACTATATACACTTCTCGCAAGGGTACTCCGCTGAGACTCTGCCATACTACGGAGCCCATCATCGGCTCACAGACGCTGCTATGCTGACTTCTTCCAGTCCTGCTCCTTAAAGTCCTCATGGGCCCAAAAAAGACAAAACATGAAGCTCGTGAAGCCGGCAATGCAAGTGCGACTTGTCTGTCCTCTTTCTTCTTCTCCACCTTCTTCGACTTCTCAACTTTTTCGGCGATGGTCTCGGACATCGGCTTCGGAGGCAGCTTTAGATCGATTTCCTCGATCTGACCCACCGGTCGCCGAACTGCCTCAGCACCAGAGCCCTGAGCGAAGTACGAAAGCGGAAGCCTGCAAGCGCCGCCCATTCGGTGCCCTGCTCCACCCTTTGGCATCGGCAGCCTGTCGAAGTCATCTTCCTCATCCTGATCACACTTGCAACACACAAGGAAGCCTGTGCTTGTGGAGAGGCACCGCGAAAACACTTCCGAGATTAAAAGCAGGTCTGACAGCGTAGTAGTGGTAGTAGTAGTCGTCGTCGTAGTACTCGTAGGACTCGTAGTCGCAGCAGTAGTAGCAAAAATACTGAGTAATTGTAGTTGTGCTAGAACAGTACTAGTGACTAGTACTCGTCGTCGTAACCATAGTAGCAGCAGCAGCAACTGCACCAGCGCGGTAATTCTACGGCGGAAGGGAAGCAGTCGCACTATGATTCCGAGTATTAACATGCTTACGGTTCTCCTTTGGGTTTCTTACAAGCCTGTTGCTCTACTACCCTTATTGCAGCAATCCAGCCCCCAGAAAAAAACGTCACGAAGCTCGATGCTCCTCTAAGATTTCCTCCAGAAGCGGGTACACCTCGTCCAATGTGGGGCTAAGCACAGCCAGTCATTCCTTTCTGCAGTCCTGGTAATACTGGGGATCTGACGAACTGCGCACCTGCAGATCTTGAAGCCACAAGCTGCAAAATACGCTTCGCCTTTTCTCCGTTCTTGCTGAGGCTCTGGCTGTTTGCTAAGAGCGCGAACCTACAGGAACAAACCGTAATAAGCAATAATAGCTTCCAGTCGCTGACAGCACAGGACTACGAGGCCGAGACCCGAAAAAGACGATGCCGACCTTGTCCCAGGGAAACTCCTCATCCTTAGCTGAGATTTTCGAAGATGTTGACATAACCTGTTCAGCACGTACAGCGCACCTGAACCGCCTCTAGGCCCTCTTCGACGATATTCCCGGCAATGTTCGCCACATTACCTGCTGCATAGATGAATGTACAAGATGCGACTGGCCAGTGCCGTTCTTCGCCACAACGCGGTGAAGCAGTCAAGTCTCTGAAGCAAAGCTGACAGCCGGTAGGTAAACCCTTGGAGCATGCGTGGTGCCACCGTGCCAGCATCTTTCATGATTAATGTCGATTGGATTTGGCCACTGGCCTCGCTTTTGATGCCAGAAGTTACGGAACTGCTCGGCATTGGAGCAGGGCATTTGTAGTTCTGCTAACTGAGAACCACAAAGATGCGACCCTCACGGCATGCGAGGGCCCGAAAAACGGAACTTCGCCCTGCGAGACGAAGACACGCTACGCACAACGCACCGTCTGCCGCTGAAGACTTCCATCGACACACGTGCTGTCGATTCCGGAACGAAAACGATATCTCCTTACCACCGCATGAAGGTGATAATGGGCAATCTAGACAGGCGCGCCTAAATCGCCTTCGAGCAAAGCTTTCACAGCCTTTCCAGCTGCAAGTGGTGCTGGGTCTTCCAGCATGCAAAACAACTCTCAGCCACCGATGGGGCCTCCTTTGTCATGTCTTGCACCATGTCGGCGGCCTTTTCACCTTCTGGCAGATCCTTGGTTGCTCACGCTAGTTGCGGTATGCTCCGATGACAAGAGACTGGTGACCTTGATCACAATAGGGTTTAGGGTTTAGTTTAGGGGACTATAGCAATGATACAATACTCGGCGCCACTAGATTACCTGGCTCTCGGGGGCCCAGCGGGTGGCAGGAGGCTGACGGGCTCATCGAGCAGGTTTGCATCTGCGCCAGCAGCCTTCAGCTTCTCCGTCACTGCCTTCAATCAATCAATGGGCTTCCAAGTTTGTTGGGTTTGGGGGCAGGTTAGGGGGATCTCTAGGGATAACATCTCTTTCAGATCGCCTTAGCATCCTCGAAGGTGTACAGTTCTGGCGGGCACGTCTTTCCAAGACAGCTATGTGGACGAAGCGTGCAAAATCATGCTGCGGGCACTGTTGGCTTTGGGGAGACCATCTGGCTGCTCTTCAGCATGGGCTGATGATGCCTGCAGAAGGAGCAGCTGAGTTGATCTTGCCTCAGCCGGATGCAAGGGCATGTAAGCGCACGGCTAGTGACCACCATCCCACTGCTGTCGGGACCTGCCAGCCTTGGAACAGTGAAGCGATGAAGACCGGATCGCACCAACAGCCGAGCAGTTTTGGGCCTCGTCTGGGCGGCGTCTGCGTGCTTGGACTCAGCATGCACTTGCTCCGGCAACGAGGCTCTGCGACTCGATGCATCTTCTGGATTCAGCGTGCCGAGGAGTTGGCATGAAAGCTACCCTGCTGCAGACCTGATCAGACTTGATACGGCAAGAGCCAAAGGCGCCGAAGACGCTAGTAACTAGTGTGACGAGCACATGCCAAGCTCCAGGCCACAGCAACTGCGGCGACCAAGCATAGGTATCTGCAACGCCTGAGAACTTCCATCTTGGGTTCTCTCAACTTGCAAACCCCAAAGTCCTCAACCCGAATCCCTAGACCCCTATAACCCTAATCCCAACAAATTCGAATCGTTTCCATGCGGGGGTTTCCGAAATTAGGGGACCCTAATATAGTTTCCAAACAGCAGGATCCTGACAAAAAAGGACCCTAAAATAAGGTACCCCTAATTTTCGGAAAATCCCATCTCAGCAGCACCTGCTCCGCCCGGGCTTCGGGGGCATGGTGCCTGGCTGCAGAGCGAGCAGTGTAGTTGGAACCTTGCCATTCATGTACTTATGTTTGTAGGTTACATATATATATATACACATATACACATGCATATACGGCATATATATATATAGATATAGATATAGATATAGATATACAGGTAACACAAAATATGTTTGTAGGCATGAATCGGCATGAAAGAAACGATGTAAGCATGAACATACACAACATGCATGTAATGTACAGGTGATGGAAGGCAAAATTCAAAAGCAAGGTGATCTAAGTCTGCGTAATCTACCTACCCACCTACCCACCTACATGGTGACCCACCAACCGACCCGCCGACCTACCGACCCCACATTATTCCACCTTCAGAAGAATTCGCATAATGTTCTGTGATTCCCCATTCACATTACATTATCGGACCGTCTAACAACAACCAACTGCACCGTGGTGGTCTTCGATAACCCCTCGATGTCCTTGCATCATATCGCGGCACGTAGATGTTTCCCTTCTTTCTTACATTCATTGCCAGTAATTGTGCGACTATTGACTATTCTTGTTCAAGATTCACTCTGACGCTTGGGTTCCATCCTTCTTTGAGTCTGTGGTATACATGGAAAGTGTACATGGATCATTGCTTTCTTGTCCCCCTCAGGAAATAGGTTGGAACGAGTACCTAGTTGGACGATGCAGGAGGGGTGGGACCACTGCTGTGCACGATCCTTTCCTTCCCAACTCGCTTTTGCTGTCTTTCCCTGTCGATTTTGGTCTTTGGTGGGTGGGGTTTGCTCACGGATGCTGCGCTGCATCAGCATTTCTGATGGCATCGCGGCTTGTTGCCTGCTGCTCATGAATTTCGATTACAGAAGCAGATGACGGGGCCCCATCCCACCTCCAACCCACCATTGCAATATACCAGTACACATTATGTATCACAAAACCATACTACCACATGCAATACAGCGCCGACTTCCAACCACTGCAATGCGGTGCTGCCTTCTGGCTGCCTTTTTGAACACCACGTTCTGCTGCTTGCTAGCACGAGTCCCACACATTCCCACATGCTGCCCTGTCCTTCAGCCCGCCGGCGCGGAGTCCAAATGACTCTGGCTTCAAACTCTGTGGTTCTGCTCTATCATCCTGATTCATGTTCGGTCTAGGCTTTTTCTACTGCTAACGTCTTTTGGGTAGGCCGCATCTCTAAAAACGGTATCAAGTTAATGAGCTGATAGATAGACTGACTTCACATGCTACAAACCTACACGTTCATGCACTCGGAATCGGTTCTTGAGCCATCTGACTCTTTTCGAAGACGCCGGAAGCTGCAAGTAAGCACGCGAGTCCTCTGCCTGTAATTGTGAGCATTCACACGGGACAACCACAAGTAGCAACCATGTTCCTTTTCACAATCTGTCAGAGGCAGGCTCCTGCCAAGGCAACACGAGAAAGACAGGCACTGTCTTGGACAGGTGCCTGTCTTCTCCGAAGCCGAAGTTTCCGCGTTCATCCGCCCTTCACCTGCATTTCGCGGGCTGCAGCATCCTCTCACCAGCGGGATCTGTAGAAGATCATCAGACGGTGAGCTACAAAGCCAAGATCAACGCAAGGAGTTCCTTCGGCCCGTCCTGCGCCGATTCTGGCAAACCAATAGCTTCAACCAGCTGCAACTCCACCTGCAAGCGATGGGAGATGAGAGCACATGCAGAGAAGCAAAGGAGGCAAGCCTGCTCCTCCCAATCAACCTCGGAGCCGCATCGGGTAAATCCCTCGCATGGACAAACACAGGGCTCCATACGTCTTCTTCCACGACTTCCAAGAACCTCGCAAAGGCTTTTCGATATTATAGACTGTAGCCATGCTGATCGACCAAGCCTGGATGGGAAAGCCGGATACGCAGCATGATGCAGGAGTTGTGGAATTGTTCATCGACTTGGCCCACGGCCAGTGACTGCAGCAAGCCCCCATGCCACACACGAAAGCCTGCAGACACACCCACTATGTACAGGGCCAGGAGATGTCACAGCCGCACATCAGAGCCAGCCTGAGTGAACATCACGAAAGGGATGCCGCGTCCTTCGAGCCTGGCTGCATCGCAAATGCACGAAACTGGTGGCTAGCCGCCTGCGGCCCAGCTCTGAAAGATCGCTGTACCCTTGGGCGCTGGGCGCAGGAAAGAGGACCGTCCCCACCATGGCGCCAAGCTTGGCGGCCTCGGCAGAGGCGATGACTCTTTGTCAAGGCTCCCTTAAAAAGAGATCCGAGATCCGAGCTGCAGCCGAAATGCCATGGAAGGTGGACCGCACCTCACTAAACAACGCCGAAACGATCATGAGGTGACAAGCCCTTGAGTTCGCGGCGCTGCGAGGGAAGGCCAACACTGGAAGCATGAACGTGGAGATGTTGTTCATAGAGAGCGTGAAACTGCGCAAATTGGAAGGATGGAGAGTTGGTACCGCATTCTGGATCAGCAGTTGGCGCACTTAACAATGCACAGGAGCGCGAACTGCAGCAAGTGCTTGTCATGGAATGATGCATACGCCTCAGATGCTTGAAGTTGCTTAATGCAGCTGCGGACGAAGTGTCTATCCAGCCCTCACAACCGTGGCCCGAGCCAGACAACATCCACGGCCATGGATGGGCAGTGCACTAAGGCGTCTACCAGAGCGAAAGCACAGAAAGCCAGGCAGCTGGCAACCTGGCTCAGTCAGTTGCTTCGTAGGAATGGCGCCAGTCGTGGGGGAGTAAGCAGTAGTTGTAGTCGTACGGTGACGATGCTTTTAAACATGCGGAGTTGTTAAACGTACAGAATGATGTTTTAGGCTACTGGCCGTCGAGCCCCGGCCGCCAAACTTGTTTGCCATGGTGAGCCAAAATGGTTTTTAAACACGCGGAAAGTCGCCCTCCACTCATTCAAAAAGAGTCGTCGTCGTCGTAGTAGTAGTAGCAGTAGTAGTCGTAGTCGTCGTCGTCGTCGTCGTCGTCGTAGTAGTAGTAGTAGTAGTACAAAAACAACATACTGGTGGCGCAGTAGCAGTAATAGCACTATTAGTAGCAGCAGCAGGGGCAGCAGTAGTAGTAGTAGCAGTAGTAGTAGTAGTAGTAGTAGTAGCAGCAGCAGTAGTCGTAGTAGTTATAGCTGCGGAGGCACTGCCTGGCTGTTTTTCTTCGACTCGTCACACATTTTCTTCCAAGGCAAACTGATGGCTTTTTTGCATGGAGCCGTCGCTGTCAGTCCGGAAAACAGTTCAGAGCCGATGCTCGTCATCGCAGCTTACTGCACTGTCCAAATGACTGCACCTTCGCGAGCATCAAGCACTGTCTCGCTTCAGGTACAACCGACGGAGCGGCGCTCGACATCAGGTTGAAAACTGCAAGTCTTGAAGCTGATCTCTGCAAGTCAGCTTAAGGGCCATGTAGACTGCAGTCATGCCTCTCTGGAAAGCTTACCACCTTAGGGCTTCTCAGACCAAAGGGTCAATGAGTCAGTTTCACATCAAGTGAGTGCACCGCGGCAATCGCCCGCAATGTGCTGAGCCCGCTCGCACAGCGTCCAATTGAAAACAATAGTCGTCGTAGTAGTAGTAGTAGTAGTAGTAGTAGTAGTAGTAGTAGTAGTAGTAGTAGTAGTCGTGGTGGTGGTGGTGGTGGTGGTAGTAGTAGTAGTAGTAGTAGTGGTAGTGGTAGTGGTAGTGGTAGTGGTAGTGGTAGTGGTAGTGGTAGTGGTAGTGGTAGTAGTAGTAGTAGTAGTAGTAGTAGTAGTAGTAGTAGTAGTAGTCGCAGTAGCAGCAGCAGCGGTAGGCATAGTGGTACTGCTAGTGGTAATGGTACGACTACTGACAGTCTTGATACTGACGGGCCTGCCAACACACTTCGAGAAACGAGCGAAACCAGCAAGCGCAACGAAGCCGGCGGTGTTCAGCGTTTTGGCCCCAATCCAGCGTAATGCCTGCGAGCGTGGGGAAGCAGGGTGTGGGGTTCTGGGCTTGGGTGTGAGCTGCCACTCGTGAGTCGCAGACTGCCAGGCTTGCGCCATTGCCCACGATTGTCACCTGCACTGGGACATTCAAAGCACGCACAATCGGTAGCCACTGCTGACTGAGCCGTAGTCCAAAATCGTGGCAGCAGCATGGACGGCCAGGGACGTCAATGACCTTGAACCAGACATATGAACGCGAGCTCTCGGCAGAATCTGCGGGCAGGTACTCCGTCTTGCCGAAAACCTTCAGAAGGATTGTTGGGGAGAAAATGACCTGCGCTGGGACTCTCGCACCACGTTTGTGAAGAAGCTCAAGATCGGACCCACAGCCCCACACAGCAGTAGGCACGCGGTGTTTGACTGCTGCGGCGGCGGGGCGGTCTTGCTCGTGCAGCGATACTAGAGTCACTAGAACCAATGCGAGAGAGGGCAGCAGCTTACGCGCCCTCCGCTTGGTAGGCTCGTTAACCAACTTTGTACAAAGGATGCGGCGGCTACAGCTGGAGCAACCTCAGCACCGCACTGACAACTTTGCTCACAGGTGCTGTATAGAGCTGCTACATGGAAGCAGGCCGAAATAACCGGAAGCCCTAAACCTTCAAGCAATTTCAGACAAGTGGCTTCGAACTTGCATCCGCTTCGAAGCGCGCGGCACTCTCCGTGTAAGGCCCGGAGCTCTCCTTTCCGGCACCAGGTGTCCCCTTGAAAGGGTTCCGCTAAGGGAGGGTCTAACAGCGTGCTATAAGGAATCTGCGGGTCTTCACGGTGTGATAGCCATAATTAGCCCATACTGCAATACACGAGGGCGTGTTGCTGTAGATCTTTAGTCGCAGGATCCTTATCACAAACACTCCTCGAAGGGGACCGCTAACTTTTGCAAAGACAAGTCTCCTCACTAACATCCACCGCCCCCTGCTCTCCCGGGTCGAGCTCTCTGCTCCCGTGGGTGGGGTGCGGCAAAGGCTGGCTGCTGCTGAGCAAGCAGGCTGCACAAGCGCGATAGAACTCCAGAAACTTGCACCAGGCCTCCAGCCAACCTGGCCAAAGCTCGTTCCTCTTTCTGTCCTCTGTCCTGTCACGCTCTGCCAAGGTCTCCATCGCAGTGTAGCAGCGCTGGAAGACGTCCAATGGGTCGACAGCATCGAACTGCCGCAACTTCTCAACAAACTCGGCGAGGAATCCAAAGAACGAGGAGAACTCGGAAACGGAATGCAAGGTAACCACACCTGCTGTCAGCGCAGCTACCATAGGATCCAGCTTCGAGGACTTCAACTTCCCCAGTCGTCCGCCACGAAAGAAGGTCATACCCGCCCCCACTAGACCTCCCACCCGGCTTTCGTCGGGAAGGGCACCGGTCGAGATCCCACCACCTGACACGCCTGGGAGTTTCAGAAACCAAGAGAGACACCCGAGTTCTAGGATCCTTATCATTCAATGGCCCCCCGCAGTTTGCGAAACCCCTGCCTGCTCCGGCGGACCCCCCTCCCGACCCTCCAGGAAGACTCTGTTGGGACTGATTCGGCCTCTCGTTCATCTCTCGTTCGCCTCGCTGTTCCCCTCGTTGCTCCAGCTCTTGCACTAGGATCGCCTTGAAGTCGTCGAAGCGTCGTCCTTGGCTACGGGG